CTCACTGCCGGAACATCCCCCACATTCTCCTCGCACTCTGCCAGCACCGGTGCCTTGCAGCCATCCAACATGGCCCCTCCTGGGCCACCTGTGCCCCCTGACCTGCACCTCTCCCCCAGCCCTTTGGACAGTCCTCACGTCTCCTGCATGCACCAACACACGCTGCCTCCACCTGCCCTTCGCTGTCCCCCAGGTATGCCCCTTCTCACCTGGCACCACTTAGCTCCTCTCACCGCCTTGGCTCCTATGGACCCCATCTGCAAGACCCCTATCTCTGCACCTCCAGCTCAGGCCTCTCCTTTCTGGGCCCTGAACCATGCCCCGCGACCCAGCACTTCACGCAATGCTCCTCAGGTGCCTAAACCATACTAGCCCAAGCTCAGCTCGATGTTCTCCCCACACCCGCACATGCTCTCCTCAGGGTTTGATTGGGCAGTGGGGCCCTTGGCAGGCCACCCCGGCTACCATGTAAGAGGTGGCCCCACGACCCTCAACAGAGCAGACATCAAGTGCGTATGATTCTGACTCTTACATCAGTTTTTAATCAGTTCTTGCTTTTGTACCTTCCAAATAGCTTCTAAAAGACAGGACACGGTGAGCTCTACCCACTGCCCCATCTCAGAGGGGAGGTGCCCCTGTGCAGCACTTCCCAGCTGGAACCCGGAGGAGGTGCTAGGGAGGGCACCAGCAGAGGCCCAAGAATACGGCCTCTGACATCTGTCATGTCCCTGAAACTGAGGATCCCATAGCCAGGGAAAGGCAGGCTCCGTGGTGTTACCTCTGCTTTTGGTCCAATGAAGAGGTCCCCCTCCAAGGCTCCGGCCATCACCCGCATGTGCTTGGGCCGCCCGACACTGTGAGGACAGATAACACCAGCAAGGTGGGCAGAGAGCAGGGTGGAGCTTGTGTCCAGAAAAACCGAAGTCCGACCCCAGCCGCCCAGAGGGTACTTGGCCTCTGGAGCACCAGGATGTGGCTGGGGGGCACAGATTGGAACTGGGGTTTATGGGGTTTGGGACTAGAGAGGGGGCCTGGGCAGGACAAGAAGCTCAGGGTCAGGAGGCACAGTTGGTGAGAGAGCTGCATGTCTGAGCACCAGAACCCAGCCCTCCATGGCCCAGCCCTGGCAGAGGGTCAGCCTCCTGCAGCCAGTGATGCAGACCATGCTCCTGACTTCGGCAGGGCAGGGCTGCCATCACTGTCTACAGACTGAGGGAGGACAGCCCCAGGAAGCTGGGTCAGGGCTCCCTTGTGTACCCACTCTCACTCAGTCAATGACGCCCTTCCCACTGCCAGGGCTTCTGGATCAGAGATTTAGTTTTTGAAAACTGTAGGATCTGATGCACTATCTCTAAAGGCAATGGAACCTCTAATTACCCACACAGTCAGAAAGGAACACTGAAGCTCGACAGGGGCGCTGGCTCTGTCCCAGACCAGGCCAGGCTTGGGCTAGCCTGCCACTCGGGGGCCTAGGATCCCCTGCTGCCCCCTGCCTTTAGGCCATTCATCCCAAAGCCTCCAGGATTTGGGAAGAGACGCTTCTAAGGGCAACTTTCCCAATGGGCTCACAGGGGGTTCAAGGGGCACCCCAGGCTCTCTGGGTTTGTACTTCTCTCCTATTCCCACCTTCACCAGTACCAAACAGGGCTAGGGTTCCCCCCTTAACTGAAAAAGACATTTTCTGGAGTCTGAAAACAAGCTCTGTAGAAAAACACTTCCAGGGAGGAAAGGGTGGCTGTGTATCTAACTCCTCACTCTTCCTACTCTGAGTTTAGGGTTCCCCTTGGAGGCATCTCCCTTTATTCTTGCTGCTGCTAACACACCTCATCCCCAGTGAAATGCTGGTTGCTCTTCCTCCTTGTTGGCTCAATAAGACCAAAATGAGAGACTCCAAAGACAGAAGGGAACCCTAGAATGCTTGTGTTGTTCTTTCAGAGCTCTCCCAATAGTGTTAACCTCACAAATTTGGTGTTTTCCATACTGGTCAGGGCAAAAATTGTCTTCAAAGAGTGCTATGACAGAAGGCCAATGTTCTCACAGAAAGTAAACAAAAGGGCTGGGGCTGCTGCCTGAGCCACACTTACTAGTTTGGGAAACAGTATTTGGGAATCTGGTCTCCTGCAAAACCAGCTTTGATCACCCCCGAACCCTGCAAGGAAAAACAAAGTTTAGCCCCCCAACATGCACCATCAGATGAAGCCTGTGCCCTGCAATGGAGAGATCTGGCTGCTCCGCCAAGGAAGGCCAGGGAGGAAGCCAGGGACCCTGCCAGGATCATTTACAAGTACACCAATGGTTCAAGACTGGGAGCAATTTTGCATCCTCCTCCCCTGGCAAAACTTGGCAATGTCTGGCAGCTGGGGAGAGGGTACATGGAGTGGGGGATGCTGTTGGCATCTAATGGGCAGAGGCCAGGGCTGCTGCTGCACATTCTACAATGTACAGGCCAGCCTGCACTACCAACAATGAGCTAGCCCAGAACGCCAATACAGGGATGGAGAAACCATGAAGGACACCTTCCTCTGCACACCTAAGGGCTGGCTCCAGCAGGAGGATTCCACAGCACATGCTACTCCCTCTGTGTTTATTATTATTATTATTAATAAATTATAAAATTATAATTCAAATTATAATTTAATATTAAATATTAAATTTTATATTAATATAAAAATTATTATATTAATAATAAAATTAAGAAACCCCTCTGTGTTTATTATTATTATTATTAATAAATTATAAAATTATAATTCAAATTATAATTTAATATTAAATATTAAATTTTATATTAATATAAAAATTATTATATTAATAATAAAATTAAGAAACCCCTCTGTGTTTATTATTATTATTATTATTTTCAACGCTTTCCTCTCTCCCAAGAACCCAGGAGGCATGGAACACGGACCACCTACAGGGCCTGCTGGAGAAGACCAATGGGTGCATGTGATGACTGGCAGCTTCCCTCAAGTGGCTTCCCCAGAGACTGCTGGGAGAACTTGGTTCTATCGCTGCCCCCACCTGGAAGCTGGACTTAAGGATATCCAAAAGAACGTGGCAATTAGAAACCTCCCACCCAGCAAAGGGATCAGCTTCTCAACTCAGCCCCACCACTCTTCACCCCAACTCTCTGAGTCTGCAGCAGAAATAAACATCTCCAAGTTACAGAGGAAGGCTGGAATTCCCAGGGGCCAACGGTAACCTTTTGAACTCATAGCCTGTTGATTAGCCTATATGAGTTATTTGCACATCAAGAACGAAAGAAGCCTGCTCCTTCCAGCAGCGTCCTGCTGGTGTGACAGCACGTCCCCAAACTCTGTATTAGCCTCCTTATTAAACATCGCCTGTTGTGATTCAGGGAGCCCACATGGGTACTCCAAAACAGCCATTCAGAGACCCCACGGGGTTATGTGGGAGGCAGATCCCAGAAAGGGCAGAAGTGAGTCATTATCAAAAACTCTAAGGCCCGCACACCAGACATAGATATCCAGCTAGGGGCAGACCCAAAGATCCCAGCCCTTATCTTCTCCCCATGTCAGAGCTCGGAAGCCAGAAATCTTCCTACGGCCGCTGAAAGCAAGCCGAGCCCCATTGCTGAAGCACAAAGCCACAGGAAACCTGACATCTTTTCTCTGAGGCTTCCAAACGAGCACCCAAATTGCTTGCTGATACTGGGAAGAGTGGCCATGTACTCTCTACTGCCCTGCTGGTGTGGTGTTTGCTCAGCAGAGGGAGCATTTAAGGAGAAAGTCAAAGTAGCCAAAAGGCAACCAGATGGTGGTGGACATGTGGGTGACAGTAACGTGAATTTGTTGCCTCGGGGTGCAGCCCCAAAGATGAAGCCAGCAGTGTGTAAAGGACAAATGTCACCCCACCTCTGTCAGGTAGCCAGAGCCAGAGCCGAAGGACTGGGAAAGGAACTGGGGTCGAAACCCGCCCAGCGACAGCACTCTCAACTGAGAAGGGTTCGAGGCGCGTTCCCGTCCGGCCGCCCGGCTGTCACTCAAGCTTTCCCGAACTTCCCCGCCCGGCTTGGGAAGGGGTCGGGGAAGGGGCTCGCCCCAAGGCCGGCCCTACAGGGCCAAGACAGCGCACGCCCCCGAGGCGAAGCAAGCGGCCCAGCGGGGGCGACGGCCGCGCAGTGGGCGGAGGACGCGCCAAGGCGGGCGGAGGGGGTCCCTCCCTGCGCTGCCGCGGGCGCCCCCAGGGGAGGGGCGCCCGCCCTCCCCCTGGCTGCCGGGCCTCACGTTGTCGATGACCACGGGCTGGTTGGCGATGATGTCGTAGGACTCCATGGCCAGGCCGCGCCGGCCCTGCCCAGCAGGCTGGTTGCAGGATAGACCGGAGGGCTGGCGGGCGGGCTGGAGGACCCGGACGGCTGCGATTCCAGACGCGACGCCGCGCCCCTCCCTCCCAAACGTGCAGCCTACGCAAGCCCGGCGGGGCTTTCTGGAGGGCGGGGCACGCGGCCAATCACCGCTCCCACCTAGCCCGATTGACAGCGGGCGTCCGGGGCTGGCTGCGTGAAGGGGCGGAGCCTCCGGAGGCTGGCCAGCCAATTGAGGTCGCCCCGAAAAAGTGGTCGCGGCGTTGCCAAGGTAGGCTGCGCAGCGTCGGGGATGATGTCATGGCTCCGTTTTAAAGGGGACGGCGGCGGCAGAAAGTGGAGCTGGGCCAGTGGGCTGATTCGCGGGCGCGGAGGGAGTCGGTGGAGCTGCAAATTCACCAGTCCAGGAAGGCGCCTTTCCGGCGCCCCAGCACCTTGGGCCATGCTGCTTCGTGAGAGCGCTCTCTCCAAGGAGGCCAACCCTGGATATTTCACCCAAAGTATTTTTCTTTTTTTCTAGAGAAGGTTTTTTACTCTATCGCCCAGGCTGGAATCCTTGGACTCGAGCGAACCTCCCGCATCAGCCTCCCGAGTAGGTGGGACTGCAGGCGCGCGCCACTGCCCTCAGCTAATTTTTATTTATTTTTATTTTTCATTTTTTTTTTAACTGAGATAATTTTCGTAGAGACTCAAAAATTGCCAATGCTGACTGTATTGCAAATCGTCACGGTGGGGTATTGGGAAGTTTTCGATTAGCAATAATCGCGTTTCGGCTAAACCTCATTGGCTACTATATTTCCACCAAGCAACGCCAGCTAATTAAAAAAAAAATTTTTTTTTTTTT